AGTGCAGCTTGGTACACGTCTAGATATGTGAGACACTCTTATTTATACCCCATGAACTTGCTCTCACCAAGGCATGTGGTACAACACGGTGACTCAACGCATCCAGACATGCGCAGAGCGTAATGGGGCCAGAGTATTTTGATATATATCAATATATATATATATATATATATATATATATCAATATCAGTTGGGTACTACAGGGTGTATAAAAAAACTGAACAGACTTGAAATTGCTCTCAATTTCGCAAAACAGCTATTAGTATCCAATCTTTGATATATATATAGGTTGTTTGGGTACTTATAATGTAAAATAATGAAAAAAAATTCTTGAACTCAAATTTTGTGAACCAGGGGGGGGGGGTGTCTTTTCCAACAAATTAAAAATGGCTTGTGCACGAGATTTAAAAGATTTAATCGTATTTTGAGTTAATGGGTGAACAATGTGTTGGGTGTTTAATTGCTGCACGGAATTTCAGACAATTTGCAAATTATGCAAATTAAGTAAAGGCATTAATAAGGCAGGCAAAAGACTGGGTTTTTTTACGAAGAAATGAAACGTTAATACGGGCTTAAACTAAAGCAAATTGTGAAAGTATCCACAACCTATTGTAGTATTGTATTGTATTCGACACCTCTAAACTTTGAGTGTCCAATATCAGACACAAGTCAGTAGATAACATTTATACGTAGTACCACAGCACCGTAGTACCACAGTATCGTAGTACCACAATACCACAGTACCGTTCTACCACAATACCTTAATACCACAGTACCACAATACCGTTGTACCACAATACCACAATACCGTAGTACCACAATACCACAGTATTACCACAGTACCACAACCACATTACTGTAGTACCACAGTACCATAGTACCACAGTACCGTAGTACCACAGTACTGTTGTACCACAATACCACAGGACCGTAGTACACAATACCACAGTACCATTGTACCACAGTACCCAAGTACCATAGTACCACAATACCACATTACCGTAGTACCACCGTACCGTAGTACCACAATACCACAGCACCATAGTACCACAATACGTAGTACTACAATACCACAGTACCACAATACCACAGTACCGTAGTACCACAATAAAACAGTACCACAGTACCGTAGTACCACAGTACCGTAGTACCGTAGTACCGTAGTACCACAGTACCGTAGTACCACAGTACCGTAGTACCACAATACCACAGTACAGTAGTACCACAATACCGTAGTACCACAATACCGTAGTACCACAGTGCCGTAGTACCACAATACCACAGTGCCGTAGTACCACAATACCGTAGTACCACAGTAGTAGTACCACAATACCACAGTACCGTAGTACCACAGTACCGTAGTACCACAATACCACAGTACCGTAGTACCACAGTACCACAATACCACAGTACCGTAGTACCGCAGTACCATAGTACCATAGTACCACAGTACTGTTGTACCACAATACCACAGGACCGTAGTACACAATACCACAGTACCATTGTACCCAAGTACCGTAGTACCATAGTACCACAATACCACATTACCGTAGTACCACTGTACCGTAGTACCATCGTACCGTAGTACCACAATACCACAGCACCGTAGTACCACAATACCACAGTACGTAGTACTACAATACCACAGTACCACAATACCACAGTACCGTAGTACCACAATACCACAGTACCGTAGTACCACAGTACCGTAGTACCACAGTACCGTAGTACCACAATACCGTAGTACCACAATACCGTAGTACCACAATACCGTAGTACCACACTGCCGTAGTACCACAGTGCCGTAGTACCACAATACCACAGTGCCACAGTGCCGTAGTACCACAGTACCGTAGTACCACAATACCACAGTACTGTAGTACCACAATACCACAGTACCGTAGTGCCACAATACCACAGTACCGTAGTGCCACAATACCACAGTACCGCAGTACCGTAGTACCACAGTACTGTTGTACCACAATACCACAGGACCGTAGTACACAATACCACAGGACCGTAGTACACAATACCACAGTACCATTGTACCCAAGTACTGTAGTACCATAGTACCACAATACCACATTACCGTAGTACCACTGTACCGTAGTACCATCGTACCGTAGTACCACAATACCACAGCACCGTAGTACCACAATACCACAGTACGTAGTACTACAATACCACAGTACCACAATACCACAGTACCGTAGTACCACAATACCACAGTACCACAATATGACAGTACCGTAGTACCACAGTACCGCAGTACCGCAGTACCACAATACCGTAGTACCACAATACCGTAGTACCACAATACCGTAGTACCACAGTGCCGTACTACCACAATACCACAGTGCCACAGTACCACAGTACCGTAGTACCACAATACCACAGTACCGTAGTACCACAGTACCGTAGTACCACAGTACCGTAGTACCACAATACCGTAGTACCACAACACCACAGTACCGTAGTACCACAGTACCACAGTACCACAGTACCACAATACCACAGTACCGCAATACCACAGCACCATAGTCCCACACTACCACAATACCGTAGTACCACAGTACCACAATAATGAGTTTGGCAAACGCAATGTGTGTCGCAACAGCTGCAATGAGAACGCTGAAAGGACTGGGGCGAGAACGTTGTTGTTTACAAATTGCCGTTGCGATGTTTTACTGTTTGGCATCGCCTGTTATACTACTGTTTAACAGCTGTTTTGGCGTTGGCGGGAAATCAAAATGGCGGCAGCCACTGATTTCTATCTTTTAGCCTTAATCAAAGGAGATATTGATGAAGAAGAATATCTTTTGTTAATTGAAGAAAATGATAATACTTATATGAAGCTGAGCAATTTTCCATATGAAGAATATGACCCTTTTGACTGGGATGCACTAGATGAATTAGTGTGCAAAACAGAGTTCAGATTCGAAAAGAACGATATTCCCCTCCTTCAACATGCATTACAAATACCTGCTGTTATTTCAATCAAAAGATGTAAGACGTGTCATGGCCTAGAGGCTCTCTGTATTCTCCTGAAAAGATTTGCTTATCCGGTGAGGTATTGTGACATGGTGTCGCTTTTTGGAAGATCTGTTCCAGAAGTGTGCAGAATTGTGCATTATATGGTCAACATCATCTATGAAAAACATCATTTTCGGCTCACTTCGTGGAACCAGCCTTTCCTTTCCCCAGAAAACCTTCAGTTATATGCCAGTCATATACACAATAAAGGAGCACCCCTCAGTAATTGCTTTGGGTTTATTGATGGGACCGTAAGGCCAATTTGTAGACCAGAAAAAGACCAAAGGCACGTCTACAATGGTCACAAGCGACTCCATTGTTTAAATTATTTCAAAGCATTTCTCTTCCAAATGGAGCCGTAGCCAACCTATCAGCGCCTTGGGGTAAGATGCAATTCATTACATACAGTGATGCATTAATTTGTTTTAGGTTTATGGATAACTATTCTGTTGATTTACTACATAATGTAACTACATAAAGTTTATAGTGATAATGTATCACCCACTTTTTGAGGGAAGAAGACATGATTCCTTTATTCTGGCACAATCAGGAGTTATGAATGAACTTGAACAGCATGCTTTTTCTCCAAATGGCACTCCACTTTGCATATATGGTGATCCCGCATACCCCCTTAAGGGTACACCTCCAAACACCATTTCGCGACAATCCACGTACTAACCAGATGAAGGAATATAACAGAGCCATGAGCTCAGTTTGTGTTGAATGGATTTTTGGAGAAATAGTAAAATATTTCAAATTTGTAGATTTTAAGAGAAATTTATCTTTAGGCTTAAGTCCTATTGGAAAATTTTATATTGTCTGTACTCTCCTTCAAAATGCAATGGCTTGTCTGTATGTTAACATTGCATCAGAGTGGTTTGAATTAAGCCCTCCAAGCCTCGAAGAGTATTTCACTGATGACAATACAGATTAACTATTATCTAATATTATTTAAACATATATCATAGCATTCAGAACTCTTTATCAGATGTTTTGATAAATATTCAAAATGTCTCAAGCATTCATATGTGAGTCTTAGGGGCTGATTACACGAGCCGAGTTGTCCTGGCTAGCCAAGGTGGGGCAATTTTACCAATACCGCAGCTTTTATAGTAAATACTATTAAAAACAATGTGTTTACATAGCAAACGGCCAACTCACCTAGCCGGGACCTCAATTAAGTTTACTTCATGCCGGTTAGCAGAGTCAACTCGGTACATGTAATTGTAATTCAAGAGTCAACTCACTTAGCTGAGACAACTCAGCTAGGCCTGGACAACTCACTCCATGTAATCAGCCCTTTAATTTCATAAGAATGCCTTCTGTTGGATCATTACAATGGTACTTGGATAATGAGAAGCTTTTTACTACCAGAAAAGCATTCAGGTATAGACTATAAACAAAGCAAATTTGAATGAAAATGTAAAAATAGTAAATTATCATAACTTGGTTACTTATGGCTATCAATTCAAGGTTTGGGGAAATTATTGGGAAATTACACCCCATGCATCAAAATGTACCAGTTTGGGAAATTTAACTCCATACATCAAAATGTACCAGAAACAAATTGCAGATAATCTTTCACATTAAAAATGTAGAAATGTAAAATAACTGAACAACACCAATTTTTAAACCTCTAACGATAAAGTCAAAAACCCTTTCCCGATATATGGACTTGTCAATTATGACTGCACCACTCAGTTCTACCTTCGAATGTGATGGAAAAAGACAGGGGTATAGGAGGTATGAGGCGATTGCTTTTGAATTATTGAGTAAATCTGTCCCCTTTTTCCACTTTCCCTGGTATGGTTTCCCTGGTATGGTGTATGGGGTCATATGTGATAAGTGTATTAACCATCATACATGTTCTGATGTTTAAAAACACCCTGGAGCTTAATAGAATTTGAACAATACTCATATCAAACAATGTTCAATGTTGTATCACTTTTTGGCAAATTCCAGTTTTTCATGAAGCCTTCATTTTGTGACTTTTGAGCATCAAGTTCTTGTTTTCGTATCTGGAGCTCTTGTTTTCGTACTTCGAGTTTGTGTTTCCTAAATTCAATTTTGCTTTTGTGCTTACTTTTGAAGTGCGTAAGTGTATCAGAATTTCGTTCTTTCATTTGCCACGTTTTCCAGTCTGACAGTTCTCACTTTGTTCAGATTCGCTATCTGAAGTTGTCTCGCTCTTTCTCCTTTTAGTTTCACCAACTGTTTCTAAAGCTTTAAGCCTAATATCTTCGGCTATACCTTTTTCCTTTTCTCGTACCTCTTCGTTGCTGTCAAATAAAGCAATTATTTCTTCCAGTAGTTGGTCAATCTCGTCGGCTTCTGGACTTATGCCACTTGCATTTATCTCCTCGCGCATTTTTCGTCTGTACTTTTCCTCTAGTATTCTGTAACGCTACCTCACTGATCGTATCCCTTTCAAACAGAACTTTGGGTACGCTTTAGTATTCAGATTATCCATAATCTTTTGCCATATTAAACCAATCATTCGAGATCCCTTTGGCTGTTCGAAGGGCCTCTCCATCAGGCCTGGCCGTTTGAGCCGTGCGCCTCCGCTCGCGCCTTGACTCATTGAGACGCGCCTTTTAACGCGCGCCTCATTTGTTTTAAGAGTATGAAATTGCGCGTCTGGTTTTTTATTCAAAATGAATTTTTGCGGGAACAAATCCTCGCCATTTAGACTAGTTATAAAAGAATGACAGATTTAATGCTGATCAAAGGAATTGATAACTGCTGGTCGGCGAAGGAGTGTATGGAGATTCTTCAACGTGCATTAGAATTTTACATGGAGAAAAGACGCAAAGTCAAACTCGACAGCAACACTGTGGATGAAGAAACTCGAGTCATAGGACAGCGATGTTGACATTTTCATTGATGTTTAAAGTACGATGACTTTGAAAACATCGTAAATACATGTACAGTACTACAAACATTTTATATAGTACCTATACTAATTTCGTCTAAACTCCGATTTTAAAATTGTTTTGTTCTACATAAATTTTTACTCAGTTTTGTGAATGTTATTCTAGTCTGTATAGCCAATAAGCGTAATTTTTACCGGGTTTTTAATCGCGCGCCTGACGTTAATATGGCGCGCGATATGCGCGCGCGCCTGCCCAAATACTTACGGCCAGGCCTGCTCCATGAGCATTTCTTTTAGCAACTCCTTGTCGTGTTCCTTGGTCCATTTCATCGAGAGTTTTCTATGTTATGTAAGAAATTCCTTTTAAGTTTAATTATTTAATTATTAAACTTGTAAAATAATCAAGTTTACTTACTTTTTATTGACTGCCTCAACTGAATCCATGACAAAATTCTGCACATCCTGTGACAACGTGTAAATATACAAAATGGCGTCGAGGAGAAACGGCAAAATATGCAGGCAACGTCAAAATTATCCTTGTCCCAGTCTTTTCGGTGTTTTCGTCTTAGCCATTGCGACATACGTTGCGCTTGCCAAACTCCCTAATACCACAGTACCGTAGTACCACAGTACCGTAGTACCACAGTACCGTGGTACCACAATACCGTGGTACCACAATACCGTGGTACTGTAATACCACAGTACCACAATACCACAGTACCACAATACCACAGTACCACAGTACCACAATACTGTAGTGCTGTGGAACTATACAACCAAAGAAGATCCGTGTTATCACTATTCATAGGGGGTTGGGTCCTAATTATGCTAATATATTTGGTGACTGCGTGTCATGGAATTATAACCCAACATTCGGACATTATTATTTTGGAATTGGGCACTAATGACTTATGTTTGGAGGATTTAGTTGCACTGTTACAGGATAATTTGCATGTTAGCATTGTGTCGCTGTGTGTCAGGTGATTGACCGTTATTTACCGCATTCACAAACACCTGGCACAGTATTTAATACTGAGGGGGCACTGTTGAGACAGTATTTATCTGTGGTACTGGACAACATGCCTGGTGTTTTCTTGTGGGTACATTGCACATTTTGTAAAGCTGGCAAAAATTTGCTGTCCTTAGATGGGGTGCATGATAACATCCACAGACAGTTTGGCTTATATAAAAGCTATTGAGGGTCGATCTTGAAGGCTCTCTCGCTTTTATGTTAATGTGTCATGCACAGGGATTTACCAGCTTTTCCCAACTACAAGTTTTTTTGCATTGTTTTCCTAATTTTGGTAATAATTTTTGGCTAATATCTATAAATATTATATGTTTGATGACTTTATGGCCATATTATGTACTTGTTGTACTATACATATTGATTGTTGTATACTGATTTGTTCAATAAAGTTTGTTGCCCTCTTTGGGATAGCCTTCCTTGATGGCAGGTTTATCACCCTTGGGCCCAAGGGATCTATGAATATTTGGGTGTGCACACATGGTTATATGGCTGTTGTGACCCTTGTTGAGCATTCAGCAAATATATTCAGCTGGGAGGTAGCCATTCATGAAACAAGTGGCTTGGCATAGATGGTAAATCTGTCCAGTTTGTTGATGTTGTTTGTTTTATGGTATTTATATATTGTGTTATTTTTGTATAGGTTTTACAGTCATGTTCTGTCTTTGAATTTATGTGCTTGTTAGCATAAATTTAGGCCATGTCATTCCAGGTGACCATAGCTGGATTCAATATACAGTGGGTCGCCATCATGTTGTTAAGCGCTTTTGCCCTGTTGTGTGTTAGGCTACTCTTGTGGTATGCCATGTTCAATAAAACTTGTGTTGTCCATTAACAATTGGATTATTTGTTATTGTCACTTGTGTTTACATGTCATTTCCCGAAACAGGACTACTTACTCCTAGATGTGAGGGTTTTAATATATATGTTGTTTGCAGATGCTTGTTCTAGTTTCTCTTTAGACTATAGAGAGGTGAAGATAGCCCGGTTCCGGTTTATGGGTACGGGTGATATACACATACCCGTAAACCGGGGAACGACTTGTAACTTAAGAAATCCCAGATATTCCGGTGTGAGTAAAACTATCAGAGAATGGAAACTTTCGCTGTTGAGGTTCGCCATAGATTGTTGAAAACGTTAACAAGCATAAGTGCATTATTTATTTGTGTAAGATGTTGAAATTTTTTACCCACAAATAGTAAACAGAAAACACCCATACCCGTTTGTCTTTTACGTGTAGACCATGGTTTACCGTGGGGAAACAGGTAGAAATTACGGGTAAAAATGCTGACATCAGCAAAAATTGGTAAACAAAATGGCGATACTCGTACCCATAAAACAGAACCGGGGTATCTTAACCTCTCTTATGCCAGCCACACGTCCCAGCACCAGAATACAACAACATGCCCAATCGACACCTTGGTCTCGATGCGCATCCAGCAATGTTCAAGCAAGGGAACCAGCTCCTCCCATGGCTACAGCTGCGTCTTCTCAGGCAACTTCATTGGCTGTGACAGCTGTCTCGGATCTCGCAGACTGGTGCCCAAGTGCAGGGGCCAGTGGCATCAGCCTTAGAGCACCTCACATGTGAGCATGTTAATCTGGAGGTTGTGCATCCACCATCATCTGGCTCCCATGTTCAGTTTAATTCCACTACCACCCCGATTGATGCTCAGGTCAGTCCCAAAATAAAGGCTAAAATTTGGGCAAATGAGTTTATTGAGTTTGGTTCTCTATTGAACCCCGATGTGGGTGAAACAAGATATCGCCTTTCACTGGCACAGAGTGAGAGTTTGGTGCCAACACTTTCATTAGAGCCATCCTCTAAGATTAAACCCATATACAGCATTGATGCATGGACATCAGCCTACCAGATTTTTGTTGGGGTTTACACCGGTAAATTTCCTCAAGAAGCTCCTGATTTAATGAAATATGTGGAGGTTGTATGAGATTTGGCTGCACAAGGAGCAAATTGGAGATTTTATGACACCCAGTTTCAATTGCTACGACAAACAAGAGCACATGAGTTATGCGCATATTTCTCCACCTCAGTCAAATATTGCACAGCCTTCTGGGCATACCTCGCAGTTGGGTCCATTTGTCCCAATTGGTTTCTGCTGTGCATTCCATAAGGGGGTTAAGTGCACAGGTTGTTCTTACAAGCATACCTGTTTTAAGTGTGGAGCTGCGCACTCCACTAAAAGCTGTAATGTTCATCCCTCGGGCAGAAGCACCATTACAAAACCAGCAGCAGGTGTGCGCACTTCACACCCCCAAAAAAATTGATCGCCTTTTGCCTTTGTTACAAGGATATGTTGTCAAAGTTGTTTTAATGTTGTTTGAGGGTTTTACCTATGGGTTTCCTCTTCACTTTGAGGGTGGTCACACCTCTTTTTGTTCAAAAAACTTATTTCAGCAAATCAAAACCCTGGGGTTGTTGTTGCTAAACTTGCAAAAGAAATTGTGGCGGGTTGCATTGTAGGCCCCTTTTCCCACCCCCCTTATTCACTTTCTGTGTTTCTCCCTTTGGGGGTTGTGCCTAAGAAGATGCCGTCAGCTGGTTGTAGCTTGCTTGAAATTTAACATTTTATTTTGTGCTAAGCATGTTCCAGGTGCCAAGAATACTTTGGCTGATGCTTTGTCACGTTTACAGGTTTCGAAATTATGCGAGCTCGCGCCGGCGGGCATGCAGATTTATCCCTCGATGATTCCCACCCAGCTTTTTCCATACAGTTGGCAGATATAACTTCTACTCTGCTACGAGCAAGTTTGCAGCCGTCGTCAGTTCCTCTGTTCCCCATGCATTATTTACTAAGTTCTTATCAATGTTTTTTCGAGGCTGTGGTCTTGACACCATGAAGTATAAAGGTCACAGTTTCTTTTATTGGCTTTAGGACCAGCTACGACTTTGATCTATTAGGATAATATCCCAACTTTGGACCAACGATCACAATATTATCCCACCATCTTAGAAGATGCCATAACTCACCCGCACCACCCAAATCATCAGCAAATGCTGCACACTTCACTCTATGATCACCCAATGTGCTAGGTTTGATAACTTCTAACAAAGGCATGATGCCTATAGTATACACAGGCATTGCAAGAGGGTCACCTTGTGTGGTTCCTTCAGATGATAAGATTTAAATGCCTCCAAGAACAAATAGACGAGATGGTGTGCTATAACAATCCTGATGTAAATGGTCATTGGTGAGCATTGATATCTGATGTTATGAAGCAGGACCTTCCAATTGAGGCAGTTAAAAGCGTTGTCTGCATCAACAAGAGGTAATGCATCTGTAGAGCAGTACAGCAGCCTCGCATCCACTTGCTTGGCCAGTGCAAAGTTGTAAATTTCCAGCACTGCTCACAACCTCAGGCTTAATAACTGATAGTATGGCTTTTCCAACAATTCTGCTCAGCACCTCCCCAACACCAATAGGTCTGACACCAGGATTCTTATCTAATGGAATCAGGCGACATGCTGTGTAAGCTTCTAGATTAGTGTAGCTTCTCCCATTTTCAACTTTAACTTCAATAGCCGACTCATACTATGCTTGTGGTACATTTTTCGTTTATTAGCCCATACACTTCTATGCACACACACAATTCTGAACTCCAAAGATAGAGTCCTCCAGTGACATATTCACTTCAGTTTCAACATGGCAGCTTTTCACTGAGCCATCTATAAAATATATTTCACACAGTTTCGTTGAATTTTCAAAGAATTCTGCTGGTTTCCTATGAAAAATACGTTGTGTCGCACTCTCGATTCTCGCGTGTTGAATTAATGTGTTTTTCTTTCTTAATGAGTAAAAAAAAAAAAATTTGGACCCAGCGAATTTATACAATATAGTGGAATATAAACAAGGACAAGTTAAAGCAATAAAGGTTTGACAGTTTGACTTTTTAATTAACAAGTATAAATATACGTTGTAGATTCATAAGCATGTGTTGTGCAATTGTGCTCATTTGCATCATCATAGATTTGCACCTAATTACATTATGCTCAAACTGGCAAGAAATGCCCTGGCATTTCTTGGAACACTCTTCAAGAAGGCTTGAAGCTTGGCAGCAATTTGAAAAGCACAAAATTAATGTCAGTTTGGCAGCCCAAACACTCAGTGGTAGATGCAATGGACTTCATGAACATTGTTGAGAAACAACCATAATTTGAAGGCAGTGAAGACACAGTCTGGTTCATCCAGGGCTTTCAAAATAACCCAGCAGCCGCTGGAGCTCCGGCGGGTGACATGAGGTTTACCACCGGTTACTTTGTTTAGTATACTTGAAGCATCAGTTCTGCTCTCCTTCCTCCATTCTAAGCTTTCAAAGTTCTTTTTCCTCAACTTGGTCTATACTAATTTATAGCCTGGTTATTTTCGAAAACGACGTACTATTTCATAAAACTGATTTAATTATTTGTAATCTTATAATAAATCTTGTAAGTTGTTGAAAAATTAAAGTAGTGATACATCATAATTTGTGTTGTGTTGCTATCTAATCAATGTACATAATTAATTTGGATGATTTTAAGACTAACTAGACTGTCCCCTCCCTACAGCCGCCTACTTTATCAAAACAGACACCCACTCTGAACAATTCTGAAAGCCCTGGTTCATCAGAACCAGTGACAGGCTTTTTGATTTGCTGAATTCTAGATATCTCATGGCAAGAAACCCCTGAAGTTGTCAGATATGAGTGGATGGCAAACTGCACTGCAATCAACAGCAAAGTATTCACTCAGTCTCAAGTCTTCTGAAGGAATACAAAGATATCAGTTTACAAAACTGATACTATTCAACAACCAGTAATGCATAGTTTACTGCATAATAACAAACATAATTTATCCTAATTATGCAAATGTATGATACTATTACATACTTTCTTTCCAGTATGATAACACACACACACTAATTACTGTAATTGTTAAAATGTACGAGTCACATGCAACCGCAAAATTCTTGCTCTGTGAAAACTGAAGATTTGACAAAAAGTGGTTCCATATAGTCAATAAATTATCCTGAATATTAAAGGTAGGTTACAGTCCCTTCTGTGTATGTCTGTGATTGTTTTTGCCTGGGAACTCCACCGGAAGTTGGGCATCTTGGTTTGTACTCGGTCCAGTCTCATTTCTGGCAATAACACGTGCGTTGTTTTTTTTCGAAAGCAAAGGAGTGAAGCTATAAGTTTGCAAAATATATTGAGCTTTTTTGAGCAACAATCCGTCAAATAACGAGTTTTTGAGGCAACATGACGAGTAGGAAAGAATACCACGCTACCAGGGATGCTTCCAACGTGTATCTATTTTATTGCTTTCCTCGATGGAGAGCGTGCCATTTCTGTCTGCATTTCCCCATGATATACCTACATCCTCAAGCTTCGAGAAGTTTCAAGAAAAGAATCAAGAAAAGAATCCAAGAAGGATTGGACATTTCACCCAACATAGCTGGACATTTCACCCTACAAGCCCATCAATCGAGGTTTTAATGACTATAAAATTCTCTTTATTTACTATTTTAAATTTTAATTATACACTATCGTTACAAACAAAATGTTCTATCTCTTTTATTTACAAACTGAAACCCATATAATTAAGGTCTAAAGATATGATACTCGTGAGTAGGAGTTGTCAATGAAAAAGTGTTAATGAGCAATTTGGAGTCAACATGTTTTGGATGGCTGTTTATATATTATTGTCAGAGTGATATGAAATGATATAAATTAATCTACTTGACCGTGCTTTACTGTCTTTGACTGTCTTTTCATGGACAACTTGTGCTCACTTAATAGAAACACATAAAAAGTTTCTCTGATCAAAGTATATTTTAATCAAAGCACAGCCCTCGAGAGCGAGGTCGGCATTCTGCAATAGGCTACTGACCTAAATGCCGACCTATCAACCTCCCAGGTCGGCAAATTTTTGCTGACGTCAATTCAGCAAAAGTAAGAATTTTTGGTGCTGATAGCTGTTAAAAAATCAGCGATTATAAAATTTGATTCGTAGTTTGATTAACTATTAACACACCTTGGTGTAAGGTTTAAAAATTGACGTTTAAAAATTAAAATAAATTAGCTCAGGTAACAGGGCAGGCTCGCCTCCATATAAACACCGCCTAAGACATTTAGTTTATAAAACATTTTGATCACAGAAACTTATATGATGTAAACAAACTCAACTAATAATTACTAGTATATTTTTTCACCCTAATTGTGACTAAAAGCTTGCATATAAGAACCTACAATTTAAGAACCTGTGAGGCTAAATGTTTTTATTTAGACACCCTAAATAAGAAATTGTTTAGGCTAGCATTTCAGGTTGACAGGAATGAAGACAAATCAAATCTAAAAATGTATATAAATCAAAGTAATGAAAATGATCCAGAACACCGAAAATGTCATTGAGATAAATAAAGTGTTAGCAGCTTTACAGTATAGCTTTACAGATATAGCTATTAGTTAGATAATTTGTGCACAATTTATATACAATCTTTGACAATATAGAATGGGACAATCTAGTTTTCACATGCATTCAGTTGTAATATACCATTTCCTGATACATATTTTCCACCCTCCCTCCCCCCACCCGTTTGAATGTTGGTGCCGAGCATCCAGACATCAGATTTCTGTTCGCCCAACATTGAACTGGGGGAACGGGGGCGCTATTCCTTTCAAAATATATGAAATTACAGCAGCTGTCCCATAGTTTCTGGCAAAGATTGTCTTGGTGGTGATCAATGGTGTTTGCCGATTTGGTAATTAAACGTTTTAGTTTTAAGTTTATACCGCCCAATAACATGTATTTCAGTATCGAAGCATATGTGGGCAAGTTTTGGTAGTTTTAGATACTATCTATTCATTCCGAGGGGGGGGGGGGTGTCATTTTTAACACTTTACCAATAGGTACATGTGCTACTAGCTATAATGCTTAATAAGGACATTTATATTCACATCTAATATCATCATAGCTCTCTTCCTTGTGAAAAATCCGCGGAAATTTACTCAAAAGTTACATGCTGTCTTTGGAATGATGCAAAAGACCATAATTACGACGAACCTGGAACAAAACTATTCAGAAATAATCGGTTTGTGAGTCGGGTAGGTTTAAATCTCATCTCACAACATTCAAACTGCGGGGAAAGACAAATAAATATGCATTGTTTTCGCCTTTTACAAACTTATACTTGAGAACTGGGGCCATTTCCAAGCTAAATTTCATTTGCAGTATAAGATTTATAGCACAGTTCATAATGCAGCCAGTAGTCAAATTTCATACATCTCATATTACACGATGCTCACTAACGATTCTCGATCTAAAACGCTGATTTGCGTTACTATAAATTTTATTTATCTTACATTTTATATGCATATGGTACAAGAACCCATTTTCCTTAATTACAATCGGTTAACTTTGCAGATATCCCTTTTTACATTCATTTTTGAACGAAGCTCACTACAAAACTGTAAATAAATCTATATCTCATTGGCTATTTTGGGACAGAAAGTGAGAATCGTTGCTAGAAAATAATTTGTATCTTGGTCAGTTCGTTATGAAAACTTGTAAAATCGTCCTGTCTTATAAAATATGTTGGACTTTAAATGCCTAGGGTGAATTTTTTTTATATTGTCTGAATTTATAATGGCGGGTGAGCCCATGAAAATTTGGTGAGATTCGTGGTGAGATTTGTTTCTACATTGATCTCATTGTCACATATACGCGCTTAGTTATGTTAACAAGATGGCTCAGTTGTCAATTTTCTTTAAATAGAGTCCCACTACCGTTACCATGCATGGAATTCAATGAATTGTGACTAAAATGTGGCACTACAAGCCTTTAAATCTGAATAAATTTTAAATATACACCATATTGCAGCCGGATTTTAGCTATTTCCTAACACACGCATACGCAAAACATTGTATAACACAGTACACGAAAATTATCTGTGTAAAGGACCTAACAGAGGTGAAGAAATTGTGAAAATATAACTGCGTACATGATGTCTACAAGTTGAATTAAGTTAAAGTTTAAGAGTAATGGTATTACTTCAACAGACAATCTTTGACAATATAGAATGGGACAATCTAGTTTTCACATGCATTCGGTTGTAATATACCATTTCCTGATACATATTTTCCACCCTCCCTCCCCCCACCCGTGCCAATGTTGGCGCCGAGCATCCAGACATCAGATTTTTGTTGGCCCAACATTGAACTGGGGGAACGGGGGGGGGGGGGTGCTATTCCTTTCAAAATATATGAAATTACAGCAGCTGTCCCATAGTTTCTGGCAAAGATTGTACATGTATATACATGTAAATTACACCTACATGCCAAAAACGAGTCACTTTTCTTTAAGAATTTAACCTAATTTCCAAGCTCTAATGATCATGTAGTCACTATACATGTATTGTCCAAGGGTGGGGTCTGGGGGGTTTGAAATCCGAGCTTTCTTTCTCCTAGATGGATTGCCTCCTACACAAAGCAATCTGAAACACAAGCCAGTTCATCATTACCAGAAATATGGGACAAGATGGCGCATATTATGCAATAATTGGACAATATGGCGGCTAAATTTTAATAGAAACTATATAGGAGTAAACAAAAATATCAAATTTTTACCTACTTTCATCAAATAGTTCATGTTTGCGGAGCTCGATTTCAACAAAGACATGTATAAGCAACAAATCTAACACGAATTTGCATCATTTCGCCAAATCGCAGAGGTTCCTGAGATAAATGTGATGAAGTCGTTTATTTGATGCGTATCACAATACAATTTATAGTAATTTATGTTACACATGAGGTAAAACTTCGTTGAATACACCAACTTCCATTCGGGTATTGCAAAGTGCGGAGCTCGCAACGAATACTTCAATGTTTGAATTGTTTATAAATTTAAATCAAAATCAGTTCAGATACAACCAACAGGTTCCCAGCTGAGTTGAATTTTGGCTTTTTCGATCATGTACCCACTGAGAAATGTCATCTTTCGCAGGCTACTTTATCTAACAAATGCTTCGAGAAAAGCCTTCTTTGCGTAGCCATCTTTGTTTTTGTCGTTTGAAAGTAGTTACTAGTCCTTTTAGTGTTAAATACAGCCTCAATACTTCATGTTATCCGTGTGTAACTGGTTGATTTTCGTGTTTTTGTACGTTGCTTTCCTGCGTAAAAATCAAAATGTCAGATTTACTAGAAGACTACAGAAAGCGAAAGCTTGACTGGAAATTGAAATTGGTTACAGAATCACCTTTAAGTTATGTGAGGCGTCAAGCAGATTTAGTGAATGAAATCCTGTTCTGTGTGGAAATTCCATGGGGATTACTTAATTTATGGAAAACAATTCTAGAGCACACTTCCTGTGAAAATGCAAATATTTATAATTATGTTGATCTTGTTAATGCTACTGTTGTCGACCAATGGTGTAAAATAAAACGTGATAATCAACGCATTAACGAATTGCTTTGTAAGCAGTGCAGTTATGTTAGTTCTGTTCATAAAAAAGCCAAGGGAAGAAAGAAAAACAATTTATTAAATGATAACGTCTATAAGCTCAGTGTTAAGCGAGGGGAAGTGGTTGAAGTGAAGTCAAATCAAGAGTTGGATTCAAAGTTGCAATTTGTAAATGAAGAATTTGAGAATTTCAAAAGGAACTACAATGATTTGGATAAGGCCAAAACTAAATTATATGAAGAAATGTCATCTGAAATCATTAAATTAAAAGAAGTGCAAGAGCTGACAGAAGTAAACAAAAACTTAATTGATTACATTGACACTCTGGAAAAAAATAACTCCATGAAATGTCAGGGGAAAAAATTCCATGAAGTTGGGAAAAAGCAACAATCACGAAAGCTCCGCTTTCTCAAAAATA